GCCTAAAGATCCCACTTTCCCAAGCATTTCTATACATTTGTAAAATTCTAGTAAAAATCTCCAAGAGCTCCTTTTTTAGAACCCTATAAATGATTATAAAAGTTCTCTGAGCAAATAAAATAAGCAAAAATTGCTAAGATATGTATTTAAAAGCATTTTGTGAAGAAACAGTAATTAGAAATATGTGTAACTGTTGCAACATTAGTTCTTTGGTTTGGTCACTTAAACTTAATAGTGAACTTATACATAACCCATTTACATAAAGGACTTTAACATGTGGTACAGTCATTTCAAATCAGTAGGGGAAGAATGAGGATGAAACAACTGACTACACAATTAGAAAAAATTAAAAATTATACCAGATCTCTCTCAGACCATTTAGTTTTAAAATACTGGGAGAAAGTATAAAAAAAATTAAAATCTTGAGGTAGGGTTTTTCTAAGTATGGTGGAAAACCCCGAAGTAATGAAGGAAAGATGACTGATTTAACAATATAAAAATTGGAACTCCCTATGTAGCAAAACACATCCCACCAGGTACACAATAATGAGAAAATGCCTGCATATATACGACAAAAGATTAACCAATACTCATAACCTATAAATAATCCATTCCTATCAAGATGAATTGGCCAAAGAACACAAAAGACACATCAGAAAAAAGAAACACAAATAGCCAATGAACCCCGATATAATTGTGTCCACCCTTCTAATAAATATATATGAGATAAGGACTTATTATTTGTCACCTAAGATTGGCAAAGACTAAAAATATCCATTGCTGGCAAGGGCATGGAGAAATAATACTATTAACACCCGCTGGTGGAAGTGAAAAGCAATATAATTTTTAACCTTTTTGGAAGGTAGTTTGCCAAATGTTTAATTCTATTTCTAGAAACATAACCTCAAGAAATACATTGAGTATGTTCCTCCAGTGTTGCTTGTAATAGCATAAAACTGGAAACAACCTCAATGTTCAATTAGATGGAAATAAATTCTAAGTATTTATATGCGGGATCATTATTGTATTGGCTATCTATTATGTAATGAAATTACCCCAAAACTTAATGACTTAAAACAATAAACATTAATTATCCTCTTAGTCTCTGCGAGTCCAATGTTTGGGAATAGCACAGGTAGACAGTTCTAGCCAGGATCCCATGATGTCATCAGAAGGCTGACTCTGCGATGTACTTCCAGGATGGCTCATTCCCAAGGTTGGGAGGTTGTTGGCCAGGGACCAGGGGCTGCCCACTGGCTCTCTTCCACCTGCTGTTTGAGTGTCCTCACAGCATTGTGGCTGGTATCCCCCTAAATGAGCTATCCAAGAAAGGCTAAGAATGAAAGTAGGATGTCTTTTGCCATCTGGCCTCAGAAGGCTCATGCTATCACTTCCATAGTACTGCCATGACTCAGTCAGATGAGACTACACAAGGGTATGGAGACCAGGCAGCAAGGATCATTTAAGCTGAGAGCTAAATACTGAAGGATAGCCAGTCAGGTAAAAAGAGTGAAAAGAAAAATCACTTTTGAGGCAAAACTCTGAAAGGAGTTTACGTGAATACAAAGTTAAGATGAAGTTGGAGAGGTAAAGAGAGCCCAATTTGTGGCAGTCCTCGCAAGCTGTTGTTAAGGAGCTTAATTTTTATAATAAGGTCTATAAGCCACAGAAGGATTTATATTTTAGTAACATCACTATATTATTCCATGGAAGATGGAATAAAGGAATAGGGTGGGGAACAGGAATAGAGGTAAGGAAATGTTATTGAAAGAATCCTTACAAGAAACAGCAACTTGGACTATGGTGGTAGCACTAGAGATGGAGAAAAGGGGGCAAGTCCTGAGATTCCAGGATAGTTCAGGAAATGAACAGAGGACTCAGTGTTTGGTTAGACACAGGGATTACACAGTAAGGAAGAATCACGGCTGGCTCATAGGTTTTTGACTCGACCCATTAGGTAAATGGGGCAGATGGAAGGCAGAGCAGGTTTGGGGATGAGAAAGAGTTTAACATGTTGAGTTTGAGGTGCCTGCACACTTGGATATGTGTAGGATAGACAGAGCATAGGGTTAGAAGTGCCACGCACTAGGGACAGTGATCTGGGGAAAAGCCAAGCATTGACGCTGGCCCTGAGGACTAAAAACAACACTCATTAGACACAGCACACTGTCCCAGTGCTAACTTGTATGTATATTAGCAGTGAGAAGATTAAGGCAAAACAGAAGTGCAGTACACAGAATGTATTAAGAGTTCAATTATGCAGCTAAAGTACTTGTTTTTAACCTTTACTCTCTCTTCAAAGCTTTCTGCTAGGCTGTATTTTCTCATACCTAAGATTTCAACAAAAGCCAGTGAGTAACATTGGAGAGGACACTCACCCCTGTTTCTGCTTGCAGAGTGCTTGCTGGTGGGGGCCTCCACGGGCCCCTCAGCACTATGCAAATGGACTAAACAAGTCATTATTCATTTGCATCAAGTTGCACCGACAGAAATGTCCAGTAGGCAATGGACGTATGGATCCTGGCAATCAGGCGATAATGCCTGGACATAAAAACTTACTTTATCAAATTAAGTGGTTACCAAATTACCAGTAGAAATTGTAGCCATGGGCTAGAAAAATCACTGATTAAGAGAAAGAGGAGCTGAAAAGAGGCTTAAAAGGAATGCCAGGAAGGTAGGAGAAACACCTCGCACAGTCTGTTGTCACAGAAGGCAGGATTGATAGGGCATGTTCATATAACTAAGTAAAGCCATTTTAAAGTGAGCATTGTATATCAAATAGGAAACAATCCAATAGGAGAGCTCGCAGCCTCGATCCCAAGGCAGGATGTTTCCCCAATAAGGACGTGATGAAGTTTCAACTAACGCAGTGCTTCTCAAAGTGTGATATGCATACAAGGCACCAGAAGATCCTATTAAGATGCAGATCCTGGCTACGCAGGTCTTGGATACTGGGCTGAGACCCTGTATTTCTAAGATCTCGGCTGCTAGGCCACAGACCACATTAAGAGTACCAAGGTTCTGCTGTGGTTCTCAAACTTTACTGAGCACAGTATTTAACAGATTAGGAGGCCTCTACCCCTCCAGATTCTAATTCAGTAGGTTTAGGGTACAGCCTAATAATTTCATTTCTAACAATGCCCAAGGTGATGGTGATACTTTTACCCATCCTCAATTTTTGGTTGCTCAGTGAGAAAAGGCCAAGGCGTCCACTTGGGCCTCCAAACATGCTACAAACCAGCATTTAAGTCAATTACCAGAGCTCAAGCCTTTTACCTTCTCGCTCATGCAATGGCTTATACTCATTATCCTTCATCCCCATGGTGACTCGATCAGAACTAAAGACGCATTCTTAATTGGTTTATTCACGCTTAAGACTTACTCTCAGCAGTAGGTGCCTATCCCTTATGAAAAGTCTCCAAGCTCTGCCTTGCTTGGTAAAGCTATTTCCTAGTATTAAAACAAGCAGCTGCAGATGAATATTATTTTCTTTACTGAAGGGATACATGTTTCACAACAGTCACATTTTCTCCCAGAGAGAGACAACTTGAGATAAAGCCCTACACCGTGGGGACGCGGGATCCTATTCAAGAAGGAATTAATTCACGTATGTATTTATTAAGCACGCAAATGTTATTTTATGTAAGGCATTTCAACGTCAAAGAGAAATCTTGTAAGTACAGAGCGCCTGCCCTGAAGTCCTTATGAAAAGATACAACAAAAAAACAGCTGATAGCACTAAAGACATCCCGCGGAGACCTCGATCCATTTGCACAAAACACTGTGCTTGTTAACAACACCAGACACACACAAAACAGAACAATGTCCAGCAGGGGACTAGGAAAAGCTTCCTGGATGGAGTAATTTAAGTGTTGGAATCAGACCAATCAGCGACCTTTTCACAGGGGGCGGTCCCAGAGGGCCATTCCTTAGAAATCAATTAACAGGTGTATATTTTACATCATAAAAGTATTATGTGATCTGTAAAAAATAAAAAAAAAACTAGAGACCTAAAAAAAATCAATTAACATGTAGTTTGAGTACGTGCTAACAAGTAAAAAGTTTTATCTACTATTTTTCAAAGAGTGATTACTAAACCTACGTAGATTGCAAGCACACTACCTGCCCTCAAATAAACAAAAAGCTGCCAACTTAGTTTGGAGACAGAGCAACACGAAACTTGAGAATTCGAAGAAAAAAAACTAAGAAGAAAATATTCCCGGGAGCGCCAACACTAGAGGGGAGTCTTTGGCGATGCAGAAGCATCTCTTGTGCTTGCTCTCTCGCTGGCAGCTAGGAAATGACTTCCGAGCACAAAATCAACGGCAACTGGGCGCTGGGGAGACTGCCAGGACCCGGGGGAGTGGCGCGCCAGGCCCTGCAACGCGGGAAGCCAGGACAAGAGCAAGCGGCCAGTTTCCGTTCCTCACGCCCTCCCCTTACCGCACCCTTCGATCTGCCAGCACAGGGCATGTGAGGGCAAGCACAGGAAGGACAGCCCACTCTGCGGCTCCAGGCCCGCACGGCTCGCCAGCCCCTGGGGCCACCTGGAGACCGCTGTTTTGGCGGTCAGACTTAAACCGAGCCCTCCTCGAACCGCACTTCTCAGTCTGGCCCAGGGCCACCGGCACCCAAGCCGGGGCAGATAAGTTCGGACCGTTCTGTCCTCGGATACCCGGCGATAAAGGGCGGGGCCCGGCAAAGCGGAAGTTCACCGCTTCCTTCCGGCCGGCGCCGCACGAGACGGGGCGGGGCGCCGCGGGAGGGGGCGGGGGCTGATGTTGACGGACGGCTGCCGCGTCCTATGGGTGCGGCCGCGGTGGCACGGCCTCCCCGGCGCTCCCCTTCCCGGGGGCCGCAGCCGCCCTCGGCCCTGCCCCCACCCCCCACTTCCAGGGCGTCGCACAAAGCTCCGCCACCGCCCGGCCCTCCCTTTCACGCGGCGCGCAGCGGCCTGTCGTGCGGCCCCGCCCCCGCGACCCTCGGCGCCGCCCCGCCCCGCTCGGCCGCCTGCCCTGCTCGGAGCCGCGCGTGAGGACGGCTGAGGCCGCAGGTCTGTGGCTGAGTGTCGGGCCGCGGGCGGCGCGAGGGGACGCGCGGACGCCAGGCTTCCTCGGCGGGCCCTCCGGGGTCCCGTGGGGCGGGCGGTCTGGCGGGCTGGCGCCGATGCGCCCCCCGGAGTCGGCGGCTCGCGGAGCCCACGGTGACAGCCGACAGCCCCTCGGGCCGCCCCGCCCCGCCGCGTGGCGCAGTCGGGGAGGCGCGGCCGCGGCGCTCGGGGCGTCCCGGAGGGGGGCGGAGCGCACGAATGTCCGCGGGAGATGCGGGGTCGGGGCTGGGGCTGGGCCTCGGGAGCTGGGAAGTTTGCGGGGCGACCCTGCAGTCGGCTGCCGGGCGGAGGGGGCGGGAGGGCCGGGCTCGCGCGCTCCGGGCGCAGTGGGCGCCTGTCTGTGCCGCTGCCGCCGTCTCCTGGGGTGGCGACCTGGTGGGGACGCCAGGTGCTATAGGGTGCTGCGCGCAGGTAAGCGGGACAGGGGCCGCGCGGAACAACACTGACTAAAAAGGAATTTCTCCGGATCCCTTTGCAAGCATTTGAGATGCCAGTATTTTTCATCGGATGTAGAACTTTTGTTTCATAGTTCTTGGAACTATCGCAGTGCCTGATACGTAATTAGCCCTCCAGTACGTGTTGGCTTTCTGTCATAACGTGTTAGAATATATGACTTGCAGGAGTTTTAAAACTACTTTCCCTCCCCCTTAAGAGAGGGTATGACTCTAGGATAGATCATTTCGAGGGGATGAGCCCATCTCTGGCTGTACGACTTCGCTAAACCACTCCTTTTCTCCCTCTGCTCCAGCTTGTCCATTAATAGTGCTAGAAGACACAGCACTTAAAAGCTGGTTTTCTCAAATTTCTTTTGGTACAGATGAATAAATGAATTGCCTTATGTTGATTTGTCTTGTTGTATAGAGCAACTTGTTTACCTTTGGGAATTAATAAACGGTGGAAACAGTCATGTGAGGCTTCAGGTCATATTTAATAAATAATTAGTAAAACGCTGTTCATTATTCAGAGGCGTGAAGCGAGATGTTCCAGGGGACTGGAACCCGCTTACTCACTGCCGTCACTCCCCCGCCTCCCACGTGCTGCTTCCAAACCAGGCTCCTGTTCCCTGCGGTTACTCCCACTGTTGCTCCCTAGGATAGCAGCTGCCCTGATTGGCACCCCCGCGCTCTATCACCGATGAGGCCTATTCCTAAAGCTTCCGATGTGAATTGTTTCAAAGAACAGTGGTATTGAAATTCAGATAACCTGAGACAGAAACAATATTTCAGTTTTTCAAAATCCGATTGTCAAAAAAAGTTACCTGTTGTATAATCTCCCACGTGGTCAGTTCTGTGGCAGCCACAGAAGACTTATGGCTGACTGCCTGTGGCACTATAGAAAATAATATAAAACTGCAAATTACTTGACAGATTGCGTGGTGACTGCTGTGGCTTAGGGAGGAAAAAGATCAGCAGTAGCTGCAGCATCCTGAGAAAGAAAGCTTCCTGGAAGAAGGCAGCCAGCTGTGTATCTCACCTACACTCCTCACCCCTGGCAGTGCCTGCTATAGGACAGGTACTTCAAGAATATGGTGAAATTGGCGGGGTCTTTAGCTCAGTGGGTAGGGTGCTGGCCACATACACCCAGGCTGGCACGTTCCAACCCAGCCCTGGCCGGCTAAACAACAATGACAACTTCAACAAAACGCCCAAAATAGCTGGGCTTTGTGGTGGGTGCCTGTAGTCCCAGCTACTTGGGAGGCTGAGAGAAGAGAATAGCTTACTCCCAAGAGTTTGAGGTTGCTGTGAGCTGTGATGCCACAGCACTCTACTAAGGGCAACATAGTGAGACTCTGTCTCAAAAATAAAATAAATAAGTAAATAAGAATATGATGAAATTAAATAGTTTTTTGTAGTGTGTGTAGTTTAGAAGGCTGGTTTAGGTATGGATGGGAAAATGGCACAGGTCAAGTCACTGAAGCCCAGATGAACGCGGGATGTGTTGAAGGGGGAGACAGTGCTGGGACATGTGGATGGGCTGTTTATTTCTGTGTTGTTCGTAGGAGTGTTTGAAAGAACGATGCACGTAAGTCTGACATCATGATGTCCATCCGGCAAAGAAAAGAAATAAAAGCCGCTGATGTTTCTGAGGATTCTCCAGTACAAGAAGAAAATGTGACGTTGGAAAATAAATTGCCATCTGGTAGATCTGGTAGGTGGCAGTTGTGGGGTGCTTTTATTTCTGCGTATTAAAATAATCATTCTCCATTGAGGTAAAAGTTTGGCAAGACCCAACAGCTGAGAAGACTTGTACCTCGATACTGTGATTGTAACCTGACTATATGGGTTTTACAGTTAGGGGTAAGTAAGAGATGAAAGAGCTTGGATTAGGACCGTGGTCAGCTCTCTGTCCATTGCTTATGGGAATGCCAGTCTGATCTTTTGACTTTCTAGATCAGTGTTTTCAGCCTTTTTTATCTCATGGCACACCTGAACGTATAAACTTCACAGCACACTTAAATAATGTTGATCAAAAAAAAGAATATACTTACTGTGCTTTGAACTTCTTTCAAAAAAAACTGAGTGAGCTTTAAACATTTTCACAGCATGGCTAAGATCCTCTCCCCGCACACCAGTGGGCCACAGCATGCCAGTTGGAAGTGACAGGTAGAGATGCTGCCTTTCCCGCCGTTCAGAGCTTGGTCCCCTCTGCAGCCTGAGGTTTAGGTGTGCCTCTCACCAGGCAGCCTCACTTTGCAGGAGTTTCTCATTTATCCAAGTATTAATAGGTGGATCAAAATATTTTTTATTTCTTTGTTTCCGTCAAATTCCTGAAGTTTTCCTCTGCTTTTTTTGGGAGGGGATGAAAAATGTAATGAGCACTTGGTAAATTAATTATATGAGGGTGAAGACTTAATCAGTGATACCGCGAATGGTGTTAATTACCACCCTGTTGCTTCCTACTTTTGTAATAAGTATAGTCAGGATTTTAAAGTTTAGCATGAAAAATTTCTGTTTATCAACCATTTTGGATATCTGAAAGAATTTATGTTGTTTGCAGCCATGTTACGTGTAATTCATACCAGTCAAAACTAAAAGAGTACTTTGAGAAGACAGTTTAATTAAATAAAAAGTAATCTGTAGTGGGAGGTCATGCCACGCAGCTCAGCCCTAAGCAAGTACTGAATTTTGGACAATACCAAATACTTTGGCATTTTTCCTTTTTGTTTTTTGAACTAAAACATAACTTTAGGGATTGTTTTGCCAAAGAAATATTTGTTCATCTCAGGAAAAAGCCATGGAAACAAAAGTTAAAAAGAAGGAAAAAAATACTCTTACAAGCCCACCCATCCTGAGACTACCACTGATAACACCATCTTACCTTCTAAACGTCCAGGCTGTACACCCATAAGCAGTCACATGTAGTTTTACACATTTGAGCTCTATCTGCTGTTTTTTAACTTGCTATTTTTTTCTTATGTTAGGAATGTATCATGAATCATCGAATACATTTTTTAAAAACTGGCAGTGTGTAGTATTCTATTGTGTGGCTATAGAATAACTTATGTAAATCCTTGTTGAATATTAAGATTGTTTTCCAAACTTTTACTAATACAAACAGAACTGTAATAAATATCCTTGTGGCCACATGTTTGTTTAAAACTTTAATTATTTCCTTAGGGTGTATCTCCATTTGTGTTGCTATAAAGGCATATGTGAGGCTGGGTGATTTTTAAAGAAAAGAGGTTTATTTGGCTCACTGAACTTCAGGCTGTACAAGAAGTATGGTGCCTACATCTGCATCCCAGGAATGTCACTCATGGAGAAAGGGGAAAAGGAGCTGGCGTGTGCAGAGACCACACAGCGAGAGAGGAGGCGAGGGGAGGGGAGGTGCTGGCCCTTTTCACAACCGCTTCTCCCAGAACTAGTACAGCAAAAAGTCACTTGCCACCCAGAGAAGAGCACCATGCCTGGCCTTTCTTGAGTGATCTGCTACCCTGATCCAGACACCTGTCATTAGGTCCCACCCCCAACATTCAGGGTCAAGTTTCAACATACTTGGAGGAGCCAAATACCAAACCATAGCAGGGAACATCCCTGGATTGAGAATTACTGGTACACAGTATACTTATTTGGTGGGTTTTTTACACTATTGCCAGGTTGCATTCCAGAGAGGGACCAATTTATTCTTCAACCCAGCAGTGTCTGAAGATGTCTGTTTTTTATATCTTTACCAAAACCCAGAGTATGAACATTTTTTAAGCTGTGAAACTGGCCAGGATTTCTAAAAGTGGTTTTGATGTGCATTTCAGCACTAACGAGTGTGAGCGTCTTCTGTCTGTCATTCCTGGCCCGTTTTGCTTTTGTGTGTTGCCTGTTCACAGCCTGTTTCCGACTGGGATGTTCATTTGCTTTTGTTGTCCTGAAGGTCGTGTTCTTAGAATCATATTTAAGCTCTCTCACACGAGCTGTAAATAATTTTCCTGGTTTCTGTGTCCTTTAACATGAGCTATAATGGCTTATTTTTCCCTGTGGGTTTTTAAACATTTTAAATAATCAAATTTTCAGTAGCTTTTAATGAATAAATCACAAATTATAAGTAGATCATCTAAAAGTATGATTACATCCTAGCCATGTAACCCATTTATTTCCTCCATTTGACAGACTCCATAGTTTAAACAGTGGTTAAAACTCTGCTAGACATAGGCCCTAGGTATTAAAGAATGAATAAGATAATGTTCTTGTCTTTAAGAAACTCACGTGCGAGTTGGCTAAATGGTCAAGTCACCAGTTACGTATAGTGAGGTAAAAACTGATAATAACAGCGGGACAGCAGCAGGTCTGTGGGATCACAGACACGCGTCCACTGGAGACGTCCACTGGAGACGAGGAAGGCTTCATCGGTGACAGGAAGCTAGAACTTAGTTTACGTGATAGCCTGAAGTAGAAGTATCAAATTTGAAATTTTTCACTGACCCAGTTATTTATGTTTCATTTTTCTAAAAGGTTGTGCCAATAGAAGACTGTGGAGGATTCTGTCATTTACAGCTGGTGGAACCGTCGCCCTTTGCATGGGCCTCCTTACATCTGTCTACCTTGCCACTTTACATGAAAATGACTTATGGTTTTCTAATATTAAGGTATGAGGTTTCTGTGACCACCGAGTGGTTTTTCTCTTTGGTGTCTCTGTTAGCCACAGTAATGAGTGACCACCACAACGTGATTTTGCCATAAGAAAATTCAAGCTTTTAAAAGGTTTGACTATAAAGTAAAAAGGCTTGTTATTTTAAAGTAACATATCAGAATCTTTTATAATCAAGTAAGTTTTCTCTTTTTCATTAACTTTAGTTATGTGACAGTTACTCTAAATGGCTATTTTCAAATCATGTGTTGTGAAAATAATGCATTAGGTCATGAGTAACATTTTTCCCAGTGAAATAAAATAGAAGGGGATACTATCAAAGGTAGTAAGGTTGAGAAAAGTTTTGTGAAACTTTTATAGTATATATGTAACTGTATATACGTACATATATATACACACACACACAAATGGGTCAGAGTATAAAATGATTTTGTTCATTTTGTTCTGTTGGTGGCAATAGAGAAAAAAAAAAAAATCAAAAGCAATTCCATGCTGTAAACCATGGAATTTTAATCTGGCTCCTTAGAGAGGCCTCAGCATGTTGACACCTTTCTGATACGATACCATATGCAAAGGGTGTTTTAGGGTATGGAGCTACAGTTTCTGTGGGGAAAGGAGCCATAATTTTCATCAGATTTTCAAGAGGATTTCTGACTCTTCGAAGACTAGGGTCCTTGTTTTCTTCTCTCTCTCTCTCACACACACATTTCTGAAACTCTTCTTGACATTGTTTTCAGAACAGTGTTTTTGACCCAAACATACCTTGTTTTGATCAAGTATGTCAGAGTCTTTGACCTTATTTACTAGCCATGGCCTCATGACTAGTTGCTTGCAAAGGTAAACAGCTTTAAAGCCAAAGATTTATCAGCTAGGAGAATATTCAAAGGAATCTATTCAGAATCAAAGGCATTTGCCAAAGGAAGTTTTCTAAGACATTTTGAGCTTTGGTCCTATGATTGGAATGAGTCTGCGAAGGAGATTACTTTGGATGACAGATGGAATTCATACGAATAGCATCTGAAGTCCCAGCTACTCAGGCAGCTGAGGTGGGACTATCACTGTAGCCCCAAAGCGTGGGGCTGCAGTGAGCTGTGATGATGCCGCTGTACTCACTACACTCTCTAACCCAGGCAACAGAGTGAAACCTTATCTCCAATAAATAAATAAACATAAACATACGCTGTGGAGAATGTGGAAGGAATAACAAAGACTTCTGAATTTTCTGGCAGATTTTCCAGTATAATGAATTCAGTAAATACATAGTGAATACCTGTAGTATGCCCACAGGCACTGTGCTCGGGGGCAGTAATGTCCCTGGGTAAGACAAGGCCCTGCCCCCAAGGAGCTTACACTCTAGAGAAGACTACAGGCAAGTATCAGACAATCGTATGGCGTCCCAATCAGTGCTGTGAGGGGGCAAGACGGAGGGTGTGGTGGGAGTGCACAAGAGGGTAGCCTAACCAATTTTGGAAGATAGGCAAGGTTTTCTAGGGGAAGCAGTGGTTGGGGAGAGTCAAAGGATGGGTAAAGAGTTAACCAGGCAGACTGGGCAGGTGCGTGTCCTAGGGCAGGGAAAGACACAGGAAGTTGGAGAGGCAGGAGATCCTGGGGTGCTGGCAGGAGATGGGCAGGGCCAGAGAAGTGGGGGGAGAGGAGATAGAGGTGCATGGTGTGCAGAGACCACGTGATAAAGGGCCTCAGAGACAGAGCTCTCTTGGAATATGGTAGTGAGCCTCGTTTCTAAGGAGCCAGGGCTGTCATCCTATTAGTGTTTTAGAACGATGGCTCAGGCTGTGGTGTGGAGAAGGGATTTGAGGAGGGCAGAACTAAAGTCCAAGGAAACTGCTGAGATAATCCAGCAGAGAAACTGCTGAGTGGATTCAGTAACATCAGAGCATCCAGTTCAGAAATCCAATAAATAAAGATGATTCGCGCCAAACACTGTTCATGGCTGTGGGAATACAGCATGAAATACAGTGTGGAGCTTAATTCCGAGAGGAAAATGTCAGAACCAAAATGAAAATAAGTACTGCGGTGAAAATCCATGAGGGTGAAGAGACAGTCACCAGAAGGCTATCTGCAACTGGGCAGGTGGGCAGGGTGTTCTGAGGACAAGACAGGTAGTAGAGCCTTGATGACAAGAGGAGCTAGCTGAGCCCTGGGAGAGCGTTCTGAGCAGAGGGAGCAGCCAGTGGAAAGACTAAGACTGAGATAAGGTTGGGAAGCCCACGCGCGGCCAGGCATGAGTGATGACAAGCACGGTCCGAGAGGGGAAGGTGGGCCACGCAGGGCTCTGTGGGCTGCACCAGAGTGGGAGAGACGGGAACAGAGTTGGCTTCTTAGGATGTGGACTTGGATGAGTTCACTGACTCATCATGTGGAAGGCCCTTGAGGGGAGGGGGGAAGGATCGTCAGTGGCGACCTTCTTTGTCCCGTTCAGTGGCTGGATGGATGGACAAGCCGTTTCCTGTGACAGTGAACATGTGGCTGGGCTGCTGGAGGGTTCAGTGACTCCTCACACCAGCTCTGCAGAGTGAGGCCAGATTCCCTGGGTTGACGGCACAGTCCTCTCCAAGAATGCCCTCACTTCACATACCAGTTGCAAGTTTAGGGGTTCCCCAGACAACCCTCACTTCTGACCAGCTGGCTGCAAATTCTGAAGTTCTTACTGCACATTCAGGTTCCGTAATTCAGTAGGACAATCCACAGAGCTCAGAAAAGTGCTCTGCAAATGATTCTAGTTTTATTATAGCAGAGGCTTAACACGTTGGACAAAGTTTAAGATGGTTCCAGATGAGGAGTTTTCATTGCCCTTTCCCTGTGGAGTCAGGGCCGTTATCCTCCTGGCACATTGGTTGTGGCAGCTTGTGGGCTGTTGCCAACCAAGGGAGGTCACTTGAGCTCCAGTGCCCAGTTTTCACTGGGGTTTCACTATGCAGGCATGGATTGAATTATTGGCCCGAGGTTAAACTCAGTCTCTAGCCCGTCTGCTCCCCAGAGGTGGGGCTGACATCACACGGCTCAAAGTCCCAACCCTCTAGGCACGGAGTTGGTGTCCCGGATGCCCAGCTAAGATCCCAAGTCATCTCCAGCTCACCCTGTCACCTGTTAGCACACACAGTCAGATGTGGCCTCAGGAGCCCAGTGTGAATAATGATACTCTTACCACTCAGACGTTCCAGGGAGCTAGAGGCTGCCTTCCAGGAACTGGGGACAGAGCAGCCAAGTTCTTTATTCCTAGATCTTAGAGGTTACCTCGCAGGAAGTAGACAGAGGCCAGCCAAATTCTTTATTATCCTGGAGGCAAGGCAAGAAATCTTGAGTTCAGCTTTGGCTGGATTGTGAAACACTTTCAAAGCATCCCAAGTGGAGACAGGGAATAAAGGGAGCTGGACTTAAGGACCTGAAGGCTCAAGTTAGTTCCGTCTGTGTTGGGAGTGGATGTTCTCATGTCGCCGTCCCAAAGATGTGTGGATGTGATTGTTTCAGGAGTGTGTTGGACGAGCGAGAGAGGGAGGCCAATTTCTGTCTGTGTGCGAGATGCCATCTGGGAAGCTGTGAAACAGGCGCGTCCTCTAACAGATCTCTCCCCACCCACCACCACGCCTGCCTCCCGAAACTCACAATTAGGACGAGAGTTGTATTGTATTTTTTTCTTTATTCCAGCAATAGCTCGTAGTGTATTTTTTTTATTTTCTATATCCCAGGAGGAATCCTCCAGTGTTGTAACTGTCTCTCAAACCTGACAATGCCTCTGCCTAGGCATCTGGTTCACTTTTTAACTTAAATTTTCCACATCAGCATGGTCCGGTAGAATTCTGTCAAGAAGGAAGTGTCTCCTGTCTGCACTGTCCACTACAAATGTGAGTGGTACAATCAGGTGCTAAAGTTTAAATTGTTTAATTTTTATTAATCTGAACTTCAAAATGTATATACATTTTCTGTCAGTGAACAAAAATTATAACCATTAGGCTGGGCACAGCGGCTCCTGCCTGTCATCTCATCACTCTGGGAGGCCAAGGCGAGTGAATTGCTTGAGCTCAGGAGGTCAAGGTGAGCCTGAGCAAGGGTGAGACCCTGTCTCTAAAAGTAGCTGGGGGTTGTGGTCAGCGCCTGTGGTCCCAGCTACTCTGGAAGCTGAGGCAAGAGGATCACTTGAGTCTCCGAGTTTGAGGTGGCTATGAGCTATAGTGCCATGGCACTGTACCAAGGGCAACTGAGTAAGACTCTGTCTCAAAAATAAATAAATAACCAAGCCAAAGGAAAAACTTTTTTGCAATTTATATGCCTTCCTAATTTTTTTTTTGTTAGTTTGAATGGAGATTTATTTTTGCTTTTTTATTTCTAATTTCAGATTCATATGAGGGCACAAATGATTATGTTACAATGTTTGTGCTTGTCAGGGTCCCTGTTGTACTTGTGTCCTGCACCCAGGAGATGTGCTGCGTACCCTTCCATTGTGCCCTTAGGTGGGAGCACACCCATCCCCCTCCATCCTCCACTCTCCCCCTCCCTGCCTTCATAAATTTACTGCTATAGTTTATACTATTTTTATATTAGAGGATTATTTAAGAATGATAAATCTACTTACATTTTGTACTTACAGGTTATACTTTATTCTCATCAAAATTATGCTGATGAAAATGCTTGAAATTAATTTTTTTTTTGAGACAGAGTCTCACTGTGTTAGAGTACTGTGGTGTCACAGCTCACAGCAAGCTCAAACTCTTGGGCTTAAGTGATTCTCTTGCCTCAGCCTCCAAAGTACCTGGGACTACAGGAGCCTGCCACAACACCCAACTATATTTTTGTAGTTGTCATTTTTGGCAGGCCTAGGCTGGGTTCGAACCCACCAGCCCCAGTGTATATGGCCACTGAGCCTCAGGTGCCAAGCCTGAATCAATTTTTAATACTTTGAATTAGCTATAATTACTTACAAAGTAGAAATACTGCTTATGAAGGAGGCAAGTCATACATTGAGTTTTTGCATTGAGAATG